GTCCATTAGAAATTGAGGATGTCCATAAAAAAATGAGACAGTTTGCAAACAAATTTTTATGTTAAATAAAATGTATTATATCAACATTTGTTATTTCATATTTCTTGCTTTTAAGTTTTATGATCACAATAAGGAGAAAAAAATAATGAAAATGCCATAAAGCCAAAAATAAGCTCATGTCTCAACATCTTTGACTTAGCCATATAATCAAAGTCATAGAAACATAATCTCAGTTTATTTGAAACAGTACAAGTCATAGATATATAGTCATACGAATATTTGATAATTTTTTTAGCTTCATAGTTTCAAGTTAATTTGAAAAGTTTCCGAGAAAAGCTTTGCTTGTCCATAAAAAATTATTGAGATTTAGATTATTTTTCAGTAAATTGTATTTCTTTGAGTTGGAAAACCTGGTTAGTCGGCTGTAGTTTTGTCATTATTATTCATTCTTGTCACACTTCACAGTAATGACCCAGTCATAACTATCACTGTGCATCTAGGGGAGGGGTGTTACATTTGTGATCATGTGTGAATTTTGAGGATTGGTTGAGGAAGGTCAAAATCGGCCAACATAGCATGAAATCATTTATGGATGGCCCCTAAATAGTGTTGAGTAGAATAGTTCATTATATACCTGAAACACAAAGTCCATTGGGTAGGATATGCAAAATCAAGTGAGAGCCTAGGTAAATAATTTATTTATACTTCAAATGTCACTAAGTCTAAACTGGTAATTTGACAAATCTCATACTTTATTTTTAACATTTAAACTATACATCTTAATTAGGCCCCAAAAAGGACCTTAAACAAATAATGTATTTATTAACTCTAATTTAGTGTAGTTTATTATTTAAAACAAAAGACTAGGGCCTAGCTATTTGTATTATTTAATTTATATGAATTTAGTGGTAGTCTGGTAGTGTACAGCTAGGACACTATGGTATTTTTTAAATAAAATTAAAACCTACTTATAGCAGTAAGTGTCCTTCTATAGCAAATAAAAAATAGTTAAACTTAACCAAACTTCATTTATCTACTAGAATTTTCTGTTTTTAAAGTTTTATCTCTTGTTGGTTGTTTCTTGTGTTTTTGTTGTTTGAACACAGAGCTCTTCTGTTTTTTTAGAGGCTTTTTAAAGAAATGTTTAACATCTGAGTTAGTGTGCAAGTAATAAAATGCATATGCATTTTTACAAATTATTTAGGCATTAAAAATTCTATCCCTTATAAATCAATTATACTAAAATACTGTCACTGGTAAAAAAAAAATTTCTTCTGTGTGTTTTAAATTCCCAATAGAGTATGGGCCATTGACAATATCTCTCCATGCCTTCCGGTCTCTTGCAATCTTTTATAACTTTTTTCCAACTCTTTACAATCTTAAGTACTGGTACATTTTTGTCTATCTCTCTACACGAGGTCTTTCTGAGTCATCCACATCCTCTTGATCTTCAAAAGTCCCATACCAGTGCTTACCCAGTTATATTTACATGTTTTCTTATGGTATAACCTATTTATCTCTACCTTCTATTCCCAAATTGTAGCTCCACTGGGATTTTTGCTGTCATTTCCCTCACTACTGTATTTGAATTTCTGTGAAGAAACTTTATGTTAAGTATTCTATGCAGACAACTATTCATGAAGGTATGAAGTCTCTTGCAATCATTCTTTGTTGATCACCAGTTTTCCTAACAATGCAACAGAACTGACTTGAGTTCTGTATTCTCGCCTTGATGTCTACCTCGGTAAGGATGAGGGATCTGAGGCATTGGTTAAAAATCACAAAATATAAGAAAAACCAAACGCTACATTTAACCCTTGCTGTAAACAATAAACAAAGAGATGGGTACTCTTCCTATATTAACATAGCTAACCGTGGACCTAAACAGGGTTTACTGTGGCTGTTAACATAACACATTTAAAGTATGCTTACAGTGGTGGTGAAAGTAGCAAAATCATGCTGCTCAAACTGGATTTACCCAAGCTTGTTGGCACAAATTAGAGTAAAGGAGTAAAAGATTTTAAAGTTCCTATAATTATTGATGCTAATATTTTTTTGTTTCTTTGGCAAATAGTTGAAATTGGATTATTAAACATGTATCCTTTTTTTTTGGCCTTCATAGAGATATATTCTTATTGCAAGTAACTGCATTCTTCTTTATAAGCTTCGAAAGGGGAGTTACTGCAGAAGAAAGAAATAAGTTGCAAGTTCATCTGCTTTTAAACATGACTGGTTCATCAGAATTAGCCCCATGCAACATGAGGTAATAATTAACCCCATGCAACATGAGGTAATACAATTTCATTCAATACATGGTGTGTGTGTGATGGTGTCAATTGAAGTAAATATTATCAAAAGTACTGTAACTGACATACATGCAAAGCAGCATCAACGACGCAACATCAAGGACACAACTTCTGACATAGAATTTGATAACAAGTCATTAAGTGGTTGCCAGCAAGTAAAAAGTTCAAACTTCATCTATTTTTGGAAACAACAG